CCATTTAAATTGCCACCAGAGTCCCACTTCTGGAGCCCTGGGGTAGGGCTGCGAGGCCCTGGGAGCTGTTTAAAAAGTCCGGGGCTCCCGCTGTAGGAGTAGCTCCAGGAGTAGTGGGGGGCTCCAGGGGCTATTTAAAGGGCCCGGGGCTCCACTGTCTCTGCCGCCCCGCTCCTTTAAATAGCCACAGGAGCCCTGCTGCTTCCCCAGGGCTCCTGCAGCTATTTAAAGGGCCGGGGCAGTAGAAGCAGAGGAGCCCCGGGCCCTTTAAATAGCCCCAAGAGCCCCGGGCTGCTGCTGCTACCCCGGGGGGGGGGCACTTACCTTACAGGGGGGGCTGGGGCTGGCTCTGACTCTCTCAGCCACACCCCTTCCACCCTAGGCCCTGCCCCTTCTGGGGTCCAGAGCTGGCCCCAGCGTACCGGTAAGTCACTGGACTTACTTTCACCCCTGACTGTAATTCGCAGCAGGTCTGACACGCTCAGTGCCCCAACACATTGTTGTCATAACCTGTATCTAATAGGTGTTATGTAAGGTATCTTATGCAAACTGGTAACATGCTGGTCCCCAAAATCATTGCATGGTGTGTGTATGAATGTACACAAAGAGTTATTGATGTGTGCTGGAAATATGTTCTTAAGATATGTTTGGGAGGCAACACATAAGCCCAGCCTTCCCTAGACAAAGGAATGTGTATTTATTTGTCTGACCAGCTTGATCACAAGCAGAGGACAATGCAAATATGTTTATATATAAGCTGAACAAAGCCATCAAGCTAACAAGAAGGGGAGGAGACTGCTTAACGATCATGATGGGGGATGGAATCTGCATCCCACAAAGCCTTCCTGGCTCCAGAGACAATGAACTTTAGGGGATACAAAGACAAGCAAAACCCATTTTGGTTATCCGTCACTGAGGGGACATAGTGTTCAGCACCTTCCAAGCCTCTGAAAGCTGGATTTGCTTGGCCTGAAAGGCAAGAGTCACTAGAAACTAACTCCAGGTGTCTAACATTTGTTTTTTTAATTATCTAGTATCTAGACAAAGATAGTAACTTGTGAAATTAAGTTTTAGTCACTTGAAAGTGTGCTGTGTTTGGTTTTAATTGTAATCATACCTGTTTCTTTTATTCTTACTTATTAACACTTACCTCTTTTCTTTGTTAATAAACTTATTCTTGTTTTATTACAAAACCATCTCAGTGCTGTGTATTATAGTAAAGGGTAAGTCTTGAGCTAACCTAACAGGCTGGTGTGTGTTCTGTCTCTTTGGAGGCAGCAAACTTCCCTTCTCACTGGACACTCTCTGAAGTTCTGGACATCACAGAGAGATGTTTCTGGGGAACTTGGGAATTGGGGTTCATTGACTGTTACCGGCAAGGCAAAGTTTGGACTGGCAGAATCCTGGAGAGTTTGCCGGGAAGGCAGATGAGCTAGTGTCAGAGAGCAGCTCTCACTTGCTGAGACTGAGGGTTAAGACAGTGTCTCACAGATCTGGGTACCCCAAGCAGGACATCACACCGAGAAAAGAGATTCTAGTCCCAGGAGGAGTTAATTGCTATATAGTGATTGTCTGTTCTACAGCTGGTTAGAGTATTTTTTCTCTCACAAACTTTCCATTTTAGCATCAGTGAGTCTCATGCATGTAACCATGATGGCACCCACTGCAATGTGGCCTTTACCCTAAGAACATCTTTAGAGTACTCTGGTCCCCCCAGATAGTTTGGATGAATAGCTTTTACCTAAGGAAAGGGGAACAGTGGAAAGTCAAGTCATAATCTCATCTTCCCAAGATCCATGCAATTGTCTAAAGACTGGCCAAGCATGGATGCTTTTCACTCTCTTACCCTGTAGCAGGCGATTCCTACTCCCAGCCAGGTCAGGCAGGATGAGGACTTCTTACAGGCCAGCATATAGGTGCGCTTTGCCTTATCATACTGCCAAGAGAAGAGATCAGTAAGTTGCTCTCTCTAATGTAACCATTCACTCTGCACCATGGCTGCTCTTCCTCCACAGGCACTCTGAAACCACCATATTTCCAACTGGGCTCATATAGGAGGGGACACTACCATCCAAATGCTGTTGGTTGTGGCCAAGAACCTACTCACATTTCCCATAGCAGGCAGTTCTGCCTGTATAATCCCTGAGAGCCTCAGATTAACAAGCCAACAAGAAATGTTTAGCTCTCCATATCTAGTGCTAGAAAAATTATTGGTGTTATTATTACAGCAGCACCCAAAGATTCTGATCAGGATTGGCGCTAGGCACTGTACACACAAAGAAGTAAAACAGATCTCTGCTCCAAAGAGTTGAGTTCATTAAAAGACTTAATTGTATCGTCTGATCTGCAGCTATGAAAATAAAAGTTGCAATTCACAGTATTCATCCAGAATAGTTACTTTCCCTGCCTTGGTTTAACTCCCATTTTTAGATCCCATGTTCAGCTCCTCACCTCTTTCTCTTTCAGATAGATCGACCCCAGTCGCAGGTAAACAAAGTGTATCTCAGAAGCATCCGTTACAAAGCTGATGGTTCGCTCATAGCATTCCTTTGCCTCACTAAGATTTCCACTCAGGTAGCACAGGTGCCCTTTCTGTGCCCAAGCATTTGGATTCTATGTAAACAAACCCAGTAGTTAGACAAAGTGAGACAAGTAGGGCAAAGTGGACAAGAGATTAACTGGATAGCATCTAAGCTCAGACGTAAGGGAGATGATGAAGGCTATTTGCTTACAGATATGTATTTTACATACAAGCAAGTTTGAGTTTGTAGCGAGGAGTACTTGCACAACAACTACTGCACCTAGCACAATGGGGGCCTAATCCGTGACAAATACAAATATTAAAAAACATTTAGCGATATTAGTTCTGCTGCTGTCTGCATGCTCCATTCAACTTGACATTCTCAAAAGATGCATCTCCCTTTCATCTGAATATCATAATTATATATATGAAATAGAGAAGTGCACATGTTCACACAGGGAGAAAGGAACATATTACTCCTGGGGACATTCTGCACCAAAATTAAAAATTCTGCACACAATATTTTAAATTCTGCAAATTTTATTTGTCAAAATAACACTGCAGAATCACGCCAGTTTCAATCATTTTTGTAATTTATTCAAAATACCTGTCAGCAAGTATGTCTGTAACAATGCAGACACACACAGAAAAATCCTCCCCGGGGCAGAGAGTTAAAGAAACCCCTATGACAACCCAGCTCCTGTTTCTCTGTCCCCTTCCCCCTATCCCCCGCAGAGCCCACCCACCCACAACCTCTCCCCTCCACAGCCCAGCTGCGGGGACCCCCCGCAGCCAATACACCAAACCCCCTCCCCCACCCAGCCCAGCTACGGGTTCCCCCTAGCCCAGATACCTGCCGTCCTCCCCGCCAGAGCCCAGCCGTAGGGGCCCCCCCTTGCCCAGATACCCACTCCCCACCCCCCTGCAGCCTAGACACCTGCCCCTCTCGCCTAGGGTGAGCAGACGTCCTGATAAAATTGGGACCATCCCGATATTTAGGTGTTTGTCCCGCGTCCCGACCGGTCTTTGGTCAGGACACAATTTGTCCCGATATTTCGCTCTGCCAGCAGCACTGGCTTGTTGGTTTTTTTGCTCCGTTGGCAGCACTCGGCTTTTTTTTTTTTGCTCCACCGGTGGCCACCCCCCCCCCCCACGCGCCCCCTTTTTTTTTCTCCCTCCTTGGCCACCCCCACCCCTCCCGCACCG